GAAGTTTAATTAGTGGGAAAGTAAAGGTTTGTTAGCTTTTACATTAATCGAAGATTACTACCACTAATTTTGACGTTGTCAATGCTTAAGCTTCATTCGAACCTCGTAACGCATTAGTAGAATAAATATGGTTTCAATTACATCTCTTTATAATTCTTAGTTTACGATCATTCACAATGTCTTAAAACACAACAAAATAAAAAAAAAAAAAAATCAATAGAATATTCTTTGCACAGTTTGTAGCCGCTGTCAGTTGTATTCATAGAAAAAGCCTAATATTTAGTTTATAAAACAATATACTTTTTAATTTCTAACTATATACAATTTCTCTTGACGGATAAAACGGCAAAATGACATTCCTCAAATCTTGGAAGCTAACAGCGGGAAAAGTAAAAGTTTGTTAGTCTTTTTACATTACCAAGATACCACTAATTTTGACGTTGTGAATGCTTAAGCTTCATTCACAGAACCTCGCACTGCAATTAGTAGAATAAATGAGTGGTTTCACTATTAATTTTTATAATTTAGTTTACGATCGTCTTAAAACACAAATAAAAATAAAATCAATAGAATATTCTTGTACAGCTTGCGGTAGTCAGTTGTCAGTTGTATCCATAGAAAAGCCTAATATTTAGTTTATAAAACAATATACTTTTAATTTAACTATATACAATTTCATTTGATTTGGATAAACGGCAAAATGACATTCCTCGCAATCTTGAAGTTTAATTAGTGGAAAAAGTAAAGTTTGTTAGCTTTTACATTAACAAAGATTACCACTAATTTTGACGTTGTCGTTTAAATACCTGAACCCTGTAATTCGCAATTAGTGGTAAATAACGAGTGGTTTCACTAATCTTTTATAATTTAGTCATGATCATTCAATGTCTTGAAGTTCACAAATAAAAAATAAAATCAATAGAATATTCTTTGCAAATATTTTGCGGTAGTCAGTTGTCAGTTGTATTCATAGAAAAAGCTTCCACATTTAGTTTTATAAAACAATATACTTTAATTTCTAACTATATACAATTTCTTGACGGATAAAACGGCAAAATGACATTCGTCGCAAATCTTGGAAGTTTAATTAGTGAAAAAGTAAAAGTTTGTTAGCTTTTACATTAATCGAAGATTACTACCACTAACTTTTGACGTTGTCACGCTTAAGCTTCCATTCAGAACCTCGCACTGCAATTAGTAAATAAAATGAGTGGTTTCCACTACACTTTTAGAGCAATTTAGTTTACAATCATTCGCCAAATGTCTTAAAAACACAAATAAAAATAAAAATCAATAGAATATTCTTGCAACAGTTTGCGGTAGTCAGTTGTCAGTTGTATCCATAGAAAGCTCAATATTTAGTTTATAAAACAATATACCTTTTAATTTCTAACCATATACAATTTCTCTTGACGGATAAACGGCAAAATGACATTCCTCAAATCTTGAAGTTTAATTAGTGGGAAAGCAAAAGTTTGTTAGCTTTTACATTAATCGAAGATTACTACCACTAATTTTGACGCTAGAATGCTGCTTCATTCAGAACCTCGCAATTCGCAATTAGTAGAATAAATGAGGGTTTCCAATTACACTTTATAATTTAGTTTACGATCATTCACAATGTCTTTAAAAAACACAAATAAAAAATAAAATCAATAGAATATTCTGCAGCTTATGAAGTCAAAGGCTGTCAGTTGTATCCAGAAAAGCCTAATATTTAGCTTCTGCAAACAATATACTTTAATTTCTAACTATATACAATTTCTCTTGACGGATAAAACGGCAAAATGACATTCCTAAATCTTGAAGTTTATCTAGGTGGAAAAGTAAAAGTTTGCGCTTTTTACATTAATCGAAGATTACTACCACTAATTTTGACGTTGTCAATGCTTGCTTCATTCGGAACCTCGTAATTCGCAATTAATAAATGAGTACTAATTACACTTTTATAATTTAGTTTACGATCATTCACAATGTCTTAAAACACAAATAAAAATAAAAATCAATAGAATATTCTTTGCACAGTTTGCGGTAGTCAGTTGTCAGTTGTATTCATAGAAAAGCCTAATATTTAGTTTATAAAACAATATACTTTTTAATTTCTAACTATATACAATTCTCTTGACGGATAAAACGGCAAAATGACATTCCTCGCAAATCTTGAAGTTTAATTAGTGGCGTAAAAGTTTGTTAGCTTTTTACATTAATCGAAGATTACTACCACTAATTTTGACGTTGTCAATGCTTGCTTCCATTCGAACCTCGTAATTCGCAATTAGTAGAATAAAATGAGTGGTTTCAATTACACTTTATAATTTAGTTTACGATCATTCAATGTCTTAAAAACACAAATAAAAGAAAAATCAATAGAATAGCCTCGCAACAGTTTGCGGTGTAGTCAGTTGTCAGTTGTATTCATAGAAAAAAGTTTCCAATATTTAGCTTATAAAACAATATACTTTTAATTTCTAACGGCATACAATTTCTCTTGACGATAAACGGCAAAATGACATTCGCAAATCTTGAAGTTTACTAGTGGAAAGTAAAGTTTGTTAGCTTTTACATTAATCGAAGATTACTACCGAATAATTCTTTTGACGTTGTCACGCTTAAGCCCATTCGAACCTCGTAATCGCATCAGTAGAATAAATGAGTGGTTTCAATTACACTTATAATTTAGTTTACGATCATTCACAATAACCAAAACACAAATAAAATAAAAATCAATAGACTATTCTTGCAACAGTTTGCGGTAGTCAGTTGTCAGTTGTATCCATAGAAAAGCCTAATATTTAGTTTATAAACAATATACTTTTAATTTCTCAACTATATACAATTCTCTTGACGGATAAAACGGCAAAATGACACTTCTGCAAATCTTGAAGTTTAATTATTAGTGGAAAAGTAAAAGTTTGTTAGCTTTTTACATTAATCGAAGATTACTACCACTCACTTTGGATTTGTGAATGCTTAAGTCATTCAGAACCTCGCAATGCAATTAGTAGAATAAATGAGTGGTTTCACTTCATTAATTTTATAATTAGCTTTACGATCATTCAAATGTCTTAAAACACAACAAAAATAAAAATCAATAGAATATTCTTTTGCAACAGTTTGCGGTAGTCAGTTGTCAGTTGTATCCATAGAAAGAGCCTACATTTAGTTTATAAAACAATATAATAATTTCTAACTCTATACAATTTCTCTGACGGATAAAACGGCAAAATGACATTCTCGCAAATCTTGAAGTTTAATTAGTGAAAAGTAAAGTTGTTAGCTTTTACATTAATCGAAGATTACTACTACTCAATTTTGACGTTGTCATGCTTTAAGCTTCATTCGGAACCCTCGCACTGCAATTAGTAGAATAAAATGAGTGGTTTCACTACACTTCATAATTCTAGTTTACGATCATTCACAATGTCTTAAAAACACAAAATAAAAATAAAAAATCAATAGAATATTCTTGCAACAGTTTGCGGTAGTCATTGTCAGTTGTATTCATAGAAAAAAGCCTAATATTTAGTTTATGTTCATACTTTTAATTTCTAACTATATACAATTTCTCTTGACGGATAAAACGGCAAAATGTCATTCCTCGCAATCTGAAGTTTAATTAGTGGAAAAGTAAAGTTTATTAGCTTTTACATTAATCGAAGATTACTACCACTAATTTTGACGTTGTCAATGCTTAAGCTTCATTCGAACCGTAATTCGCAATTAGTAATAAATGAGTGGTTTCAATCACTTACAATTTAGTTTACGATCATTCACAATGTCTTAAAAACACAAATAAAAATAAAAAATCAATAGAATATTCTTGCAACAGTTTGCGGTAGTCAGTTGTCAGTTGTATCCATAGAAAAAGCCTAATATTTAGTTTATAAAACAATATACTTTTAATTTCTAACTATATACAATTTCTCTTGACGGATAAAACGGCAAAATGACATTCCTCGCAAATCTTGAAGTTTAATTAGTGGAAAAAGTAAAAGTTTGTTAGCTTTTTACATTAATCGAAGATTACTACCACTAATTTTGACGTTGTCAATGCTAAAGCTTCATTCAGAACTTCGCGATTAGTGGAATAAATTAATGGTTTCAATTAGTGTTGAAGTTTGTTCCCTAAATTTCAATGTAAGCATTCAAAACGCCAAAATTAGTGCGAGGCATTTTCAATTAGTAGAAAAAGTTATCAAACTTTTAACTTTTCCACTAATTATACTTCAACATTTGCGAGAAATGTCATTTTGGGCTTTGATTATCTTCCGTCAAGCGAAATTGTGGTTAGAAATCAAAAGTTGATTGTTTTATAAGCTTAAAATATTCGGCTTTCTCTATGGATACAACTGACTAACGTAAGTTGTTGCGATATTCTATTTTATTAATAAGGATATTCTATTAATTTTAATTGTGTTTTTAGACATTGTGAATGATCGTAAACTAAAAAGTATAAAGTGTAATTGAAACCACTAATTTATTCCGCTAGTTGCGGGGTTCTGAAGGAAGATTACATTGCTATTAGAGAATTTATTCCACAAATTTCGATGTTCTGAATGAAGCTTAAAGATATTTATTTATTCAAGACTAAACTGAAACTTGTACACTACACAAAAACAAACGTGCCCTCGTCGATTAAAAGTAAACATATTAGTGCGCAACGAACAAAAATCGATAAGTACATTCCTAGAAAAAGGTCGACAGATAGTAGATCTAAATTATACCTATTATACGCAGGTGGAAAGTTTAAGTTTCAGTTTATTAAATTCAAACTTGAAAAAATTGTTTTTCATTGAAAACTTCCAACATTTTTCCATGTCATTCCAGGGAAATCATTACATCTCTACTTACCTTTGCGATATCTAGTTTTAAAGCTATTCCCTAAACAGAAAAGTAAATAATAAATGTGTTTATTCAGTATAAAATTTAAACTAGTTAGATCATAGCCCGTTGTAAGTTGTAAACATCACCTTAGTCATTCGAACGAGAACTATTTCATAATGTTTAATTTTACTGATTAACGTTTAAGGTCCTAAAACTGTTGATATTTAAGGTGCAGCGTTAGCACAAAGCTATAGGCGGAAAATACCATAGAAAACATGTAGTAAGCGACAGGAATAAAGTTCTAGCCACTATACGCATACGCATAGCCGAACGAAGTAATAATCCTCATTCAGTTTTTTCAGCGCCAGCTTTTATTTGAAATTCACAATGAATGTATGTTAGTGAAAGTTACAAAACATGCTAGTTTGGTTGGACCTGAAAATTTTTGTTTTTATCATGTAAGTAAATAACATTTAAATAAAGCGCCAGTTTTAATTGAAATTCTATCACAATCAATTTAATAAATAGTTATTTTTTACGCTAATTATTGTAGTCAATCATTTTACGTTCTGGCTTAGTCATGTCTAAATTAATTATATTAAAGATTTTTACTATGTATTTGTTTATACAGTATACCGTCCCAATAGTGGACAAGTGCGGTGAATCCTATATGTCCGTTATAATGGAGGTGTTCAGTATTTAGAGGATGTGAAAGGAAATCGTTAAAAAATATTTATTCAAAATTTTATATATACCGGGTGCGTCGAAAGTGGCTCACCCCTATAACTTTTTTATTTTTTCAGATAAGAAAACGAGATTTGGTATGTTAGTATATGACATAAATTAGAATTGATTGAAGTATTCGATTGTTTTTTGTCACTTCCTGTTTTACCGAAAATGACTACAACTTTTGATTTTTAAATAACACAAACGGTATTGTTTTTACTTTATTCGATAGAAAATGACACTCTAAATAGAATTACATATCATATGTCAACTTTTGACATTTTCGCATATTTATGGTTTATTTGAAATTGTAACATGCGGTTCATAACGACAATTTGACTCGGAATACCAAATGTGAATACCAAAATGCTTTTGCCAAATATGCTAATGTATGTAATACGATTTGGAAATCTTTTAACCAGCCAGGACAAGATACGAAAAACATTAGACAATCAAATCTATTTTTCCAAGGCTCCTTGATTAAAAATTAGCACTCTAGATTGAAATTTAAAATACAATTTTTTTAAACAAATATTTCAAAAGCTGGCATACATGATATGTTATTCTATTCAGAGTGTCATTTTCTATCGAATAATGTAAAAATATACTGAGAGTGCCATTTAAAATCTAAAGTTGTAGACATTTCCGATGAAACAGGAAGTAACCAAAAACAATTGAATACGTCAATCAACCTTATTTATGTCGTATACTAACATACCAAATCTCATCTTTTTTATCTGAAGAAATAAAAAAGTCATAGAGATGAACAACTTTTGAGACGCACCCGGTATATACATACAGCTCGACATACAGGATCCGGCAGTAGTGCGTCGGGCTTATGTATCTGCTAGAATAAAAAAATTTAAAGTAACAAAAGAGTTTTCTTTTGCAAAACTAAAGTATGCACTAGGATGTACTTCATGAAAATATTTTATCTTCTACATCAGGGTGGCTCAAAAAAGCGTGAGTGGATCGGGATGATATTTTTTAAATGGAACACCCTGTATTATTGCCATCTTATTATTTATATACTTATTGCATTTTTGGGGTCCTTTTAGATCATTTTACAAAATCCAAAGATATGAATAAATATATTTCGTTTTTTAATAAAAGCTGAGAAACATGTTTATAAATATTATTTATTTATTACTAAATGTTCTCCAATATTTATTTATTTATTTATATTAATATCTCTGAAACTATTTAAATATATTTACTCATATCTTAGGATTATGTAAAGTGATCAGAAAGGAATATAAAAGTGCAATAATATACAGGGTGTTCCATTTAAAAAAAGTCATTCCGATCCATTCACACTTTTTTGAGCAACCCTGTGAAGTTAAAATATTTTCCTGAAATACATCCTAATACATACTTAGGTTTGCACTTAAACAAAATTCCTAAGTTTTTAATTCTAGGAGCTACAGATGCCCGACGCACTATTGCCGGATCATGTATTTAATATGTATTTATATTGTTACCTTAACAAATATTCCACCAGCTGTTTTAAAGTGTTAAAAATAAGCACAACATTTATTTCCTTCAATTCTACGGAAAAGGTGACACGATCAGTTATCAAGAGCCGCTAAACGAAATATTTAAAAAAGTTATTGGTAATTGGCGAAGTGCGGAGAATGAATCGAATAAGTTTTTGTTGTTTTTGGTTATTATTACTAATTAAATTATGACTCATTGTTGTTTAATAAATTATACTCATAATAACTGTTTATTACAAAACCGAGTCTTGACTGACATAGGACTACATACATTATGACTACATAGGACGTAGTCACAACAAACACCGCACCAAACTAATTCTAGTAATAATGAAAACGAATTGATTTTCCCTTAGAACCGCGTCTTGGTTTTTTGATCTTATAAAAAATCAATCATATTATCACATTGCCTTGAATAAATCATCATTGAAATAAATCATTTGGAACCTTTGTTATTAAATAGAAAACGTAAAATATATATGGTATAATCTAGTATATTTTTTGAGAAAATTACGGAGTTATTTTTTATGCCGATATGTTAAATGTTGAAAAATAATGGGTAATCATCATCATCATCATCATACTCAGCTTATATAACCATTTCCATCTATCAAATCGAAAACAAATATCGAAATTACAAATATTTGTTTTCGTATGTTCATCCACTCATTGTCGTTCTTATAAAATCTGTGGACCTAATTTTAAATGTTATAATTTTTGCCGCGCAACTATAACGGTGCAAGCGCAAGCGCTACCAAAAATTGATGGAGTCCATTTTCTGGGAAGAGCGTTAACCTACACAAACATGGAGCGCAAAAGAGTGTCATTTACACCCAGCACAGCCATTTGAAAATTAATTATCATTATGGACAATATAGCTACAGACATGTAGTACAATTAAATAACATCAATATAATAAATTTGTACTGTTTTGAATGTAGATAAGATATATTTTAAACACATTATTTTGGGCTTATTTTTTTTATAATTTTGTTTTCATAATGGGTTATAGTAATAGACCGAGAGCTGGCTACATAAAAAACTTTATCATCGTTACATGGCTAATTTTTTGTGTGAAGTATCCTTTTGTGTAGCCATTGTGAAATAGTCAAGTCTGCCAGCGCGATCCTGGGGCTTAAAGCGGGGGCGGCTAATCGAAAGGGTGAAATTTTGACACTAAAAATATTATATGGTACACGAGTTATAATTGCCAAATAGCTTTTATTTATTATTAGGAAACGTGTAAAATTGTTGACAGACATTTTCCTTGTGGCTGAAATGACGGCAGACAACGCGAAAGAGGCATAGAATTTTGACAAAAGAAAATCATCGCATACATGCATGTCGGTTGGTGGAATGTCATGTTTATTGTTAATTAATTGAAAAAGCCGTATGCAAAAGGGCAGACAAAAAAATCGTTATTGAAATAATAAAAAAATATATTTATAATATAATCGTATATTATATGATTTATCTATACTTAAATGGATGAGGCGGCCAGCGTTCCCTGAAAAGCGCTAGAGTAATATCGCGCTGTTGATAACTGTCTGCAGCTGATTGAGCCACGATCTTTTTGTCTGCCCTTTTGCATACGGCTTTTAAAATAAATAAATATGACATTTCACCAATCGGCATGCAAATATGTCATAATTTTTTTCATTCTTCAAATTTAATTTTTTAAAATTTTTTTAAATTTCATGCCTCTTTCGCGTTATCTGTCGGCAATCGGTCTGTTTTAGCGACTAGAAAAATGTCTGCCAACAATTTTCCACGTTTCTTAATAATAAATAAAAGCTATTTTCGCAATTATAACTCATGTATCTTATAATATTTTTAGTGTCAAAATTTCACCTTTTCGATTGGCCGCCCCCGCTTTAAGCCCCGGGATCGCGCTGGCAGACATGACTATTTCATAATGGCTACACAAAAGGATACTTCACACAAAAAATTAGCCATGTAACGATGATAAGGTTTTTTTATGTAGCCAGCTCTTAGACTATAATGAGTTCCACGGAGTTCCGCTTTTAATTTAATAGAATTAAAATTACTAATGTACGTTGATACAGGTATAAAAAAATCAGCTTAACCAAATTTGCCCTTTTTGTGAAATAGCCCAGGGAGTCGCACTAATGTCTATACCAGTCCTGTAATATCAAGAAAGGATTTTTTTAGTTTTAAAAAGACAGATTTTCTAAATTATGAATTTCTAAGTTTATTACAAGCTTTTTTCATATATTATCGACAGTAGAAAAAAAATCAAATGGCTGTGCTGGATATAAATGAGACTTTTATGCGCTCCACGAAAGGTGCGAACTGCATCAATTTTCGGTAACGCTTGGACTACTCTAGTTGAATGGAAAAATTTGTAATATTTAAAATTAGCCCTACAAATGTAATAAGAAAAACAATATGGATATACATAGGAAAAAAATTATTCTAGATTTTTGTCAAGCTAAACATGTGCCGTGTAGCCGTATGGTTTTGCTGTATGGTGTAGCTTTCCTCACATATTTAGATATTCTCTTTGTAGCTGGGCCCATTGTTGGATATGCGGGCCCATGTTATCCATGCTAATTTCTTAATATCATGGTCCCATCTCATGTTTGGTCTCTTAATTCCTCTCTCTAGGTTTCTTAATTCCTCCTACCATGCTGTAATTTTTGTGGTCCGTCTGTTTTCCGTCCTTCTTGCCAGGTGTCCTGCCCATTCCCACTTCGGCGATTTGATTCTGTGGATGAAATCTGTTACCTGGGTAATCTTACCCACTCTATTCTTTTACGGTCTTTCTTGGTTATTCCCAGCATATTTCGTTCCATTGAGCGTTGTGCGACCTACACTTTCCTTATAATGTCCGTTTTAAGAGTCCAGATTTCGCATGTATAGGTTATGACTGTTTTCTTCTTTAGATAAAATGGCATTATAGATTTGAATATTATTGAGTTTCGTCCATAAGTACTCCATGCTAACTCAATTCTTCTGTTGATTTCTGATTATTTTTTTGTGTATTAGTTGTCCCAAACATATGTATTCTTCTACTATTTGCAGTTTTGTGTTATTTATTAGAATGCATTTTCTGTCTACTTGTTCGTTATACATTACTTTAGATTTTGCTAAATTCATTTTGAGACCTACTTTATTGCTAACTGTATTTAGTTCGTTAATTTGTGTGTGTAGTTCTTCAGGACTATTGGCTATTAGGACTATGTCATCAGCTTCAGAAAAATAAAAATAATATC